TTATTAAAGATGTTGTTGGTGTTTCAGTTGTCGATGACGTTGTTATTGTTGCAGTCGCTGTTGCTGATTTGGGTTTGGTTTGATCAATGTTTGCTTGTATATTCATCGTTGATGTCGCTGTTGTTTGTTGATGTTCGCGACGATGTTGTCGTGCTTTCTCAAACATATGAATACCATCCACGGTATATATTATTTCTCCAGCTTCGACCATTGGTGGTCTTGGTTTTACGAAATATTCTTCCTCTCCTGATAATTATATACAAACAAGAACACGATTAATTTTTAAAAAATTAAAGTGTACATATGCTTTTCTTATTAATTTACTTCAAATGTCAATTTCGAAAATTTTAAATTAAAAAGAATGGAAGTTTTTCGCAAGACAGAAATTGATACTTGTAATAAGCTTAACGTCGTTCAACCAAAATTCAAAGGAAATGAAATGTTCTATGATATCAAAAATTTATGATTAAAATATAAGAAAATGTTTGGAATGTACATTTCATAGCAGTATAAATTAAATAGAAAAATTTCATTTATTTTTATGCTTTATCAAACAAACTATTTCATATCAGGGTCGCATGTCTCTTTCATTCTTGTTGTTTTCCTTTACAATTCAACAGGCATGCGTTCAACAGTTTATATTTCAAAATAAAATAATTTTCTTCTGTAATTCTTTATTTCAGTGTTTGTCAATTACATTCTGACATGTAGGCATACGTGACATAAATGTTTTTTGATTTTTTTTTCACACTTCAAATGCAATCCAAAATGCTAGCTGGAGGTTCTAATTATTCACGTGTATACAAATGCTCTGGGTAAGTGATAAAAATAGTCATACTACCATTACCCATTATTTTACTTGGGTAATAATTATAGATATATATTATCAAACTGCAAACAACTTGGTCAAAAATAATTCTCAAAGCGAAATACGTTCAGTCGTTCATGTAATGAAAAGCGAGGTGTTCACATTTAGTAGCACTCGTTTTTACAAAACATTATTGTATTCACAACATCTAATAATTTTGTTGTAAAAGACTCAACTGTTTCACAGCTGTCTATACGTTTATCAAATGCAAAAAAAATGTGATCTAAAACTAGGTTATGATTGTTTTGTATGATTCGAAAAATCCAGTTGAACATGAGGTTTTCTCAAATACGAATCAGATTCGTAACTGTAATCGAGTTAATCGTTTTTGATTGTCTATCATTTCGTTTTGACATACATCAGTATAGATTTAATATGAAGGGTTGGTTTTATTATGAGCGACAAAAAGAAGCAAAGGGTAAGAGGAGACCTATAATTTAGTTTAGTTTTATTTACATGTGTGACTCGAAAATTGTATTTATTTCAATTGTATATTTTTACTGTCAAAATCTTACATTTCTTAGTCATCTGAATTCACAATATGGAAGCATATTTTATGTTCCAATTTGGCCAGTGCAGAAACTTACATTGCTTTTCACTATAAATTTTTTCAAAATGGATTTCAGGATTTAAGAAATCGTCGTAAATGTAAATACACTACCCCGAAATTACACAAACTTCCTTCCGAGAAGCATACTTTACCTATGATGCGTATGTACGCACGTTCTTCCCAATATTTTCTTTCGGCTAGTTCTGCTCCCTGAAGTGTAGATTTGTCTTTTCCTAGAATACCAGCAGCTTCGAAGTTGAGCAAGACGATGGCCGGCATTGTGGTATTAATATGTGCATTATCGCGACGCTTTGAAGGGGTCTAGTATTGATTTAGATGTTTACATAGAATATGACATGACGCAATATTTCGCTAAAAAGTGAACTACTTACCATTAGTTTTGTTCCTTGACCAGTAAGTAGATCTTTGGCCTCTGGAAATCCTTTTTCGTTGAATAGTGCCAATGGAACATCGTCAATCACGATATAATAGGCCTTATCATCATAGGATTCCCGCGAGAACCAACCACGAAAATAGTTTGCATGAGCCGGAAGACTAAGTGCAAACGTTGTTTTACCTGTGTAATTTTGTATTTGTGAAAAATAAAATAAAAAGTGATCTTATCGTCAATGTTTTAATGAATTCAATTTTACCTACCGATACCGCTTCGAGCAATTAAAATAAGAGCTTGCGATCGTCTTTCTGGGTGCATGAACTCCTCGACTATCCAGTTAGTCACGTCGTTTTCTAATGTATATGACAATAATGGAGAAAGAGAAACAGCAACATAATGAACACGAAAAGTTAAAATTCCTACTGAGTTTGAACGTGCAATCAGGAAATGTATCTGGCCACAAATGTTCTTTGTTGAATTGGCGATCTCTTTGCATTACGACATCTGTTAGATGCCGATATAGTTGAAGGTTTGGTTCATATCTATTCATTAGAAAGAAAGCAAAAATCAATTTTATATTCCGTATTTTTCTACAGCAATTTAAAAACCATGGAAATTAATTCAAAACATTGATATCTACATAAAGTAATCAATAAGTTCTACAAACAACTGTGTGAAATTTCATCCGTATTGCTTTCTTCCTGATTTTCGCCTTTTCTAGTAGTGACTTCACTTATATGTTAAAACGTGACTATGACATTTCATAAATTTTTATTAGGGCAAAACGTCGAAGGAATTTTTTTTTCACAGCTGTCTATGCAAATACACGATCAGTTTATGTGTTCATGGTGAGAAACATGTACATACTGAGGTTTAGAACTTCATCTGTTCATGATGAATTAAATTTTGTTACCGGAAAAGATACAGTTTCCTATTGTAAACCCCTCCCCATAATAGAAGCCTCTCCCATATTAGAAGCCCCCCCCTTATTAGAAGCCCCCCTTGAAGGGGTCTCTCCAGCAAAATTTTCAGTTTTGCCCAGCAAAACCCGGCCAAAGTTTGTAGGGTCTAATAGAAGCCCCCCGGGGGCTTCTAATATGGGGAGGGGTTTAGTTGTATGGGTTTTAAAAGATTCGACAGTATCAATAGTGATGGCGAAATCAGTAAAGTATTGTCAAAATTTTGTTTTATGAACGATGGTCAATTGTAATAATTGAGTCAATGACGACGAGTGTGACGATGGTGACTGTCATCGAGTAAATATTCGAGATGTCGACAGTCGAAATATGACCCTGTGATACTATTATTATTTTTATTGAATCGCTTTCGGATTAAGACAGGACATTGTCGGCTAAAATAATAAAGAACTAAAATGGTACCACAGTACAAGACTTCACTTTGAGATAGTGGTGCGAAGTGACTGTTCTCAGACCGCCACCTAGATAACGTGTAACTATTTCCAAACCGTCACCCGGGAACAGGAACGGATCGTTACCAGATACCTGGGAACGGGGAAAACGGTGAACTATCCACTCACCGTTACCAACCACACATCCAGGGTCCTCAAGTTCTACTATTGGTGCACAGGTGGAAGATTCCGGCCACCAGATCCCGTAGAATCCTATAGAAAAGATGCTGCAA